CGAGTCGTTCCACAACCTCTCCGCCTTCTCCACATCGTAAGCATGCGGAGCATAACCAAGCGCAGTGTACTTGTCATCGCCTTCTTTGTATGGCTCCGCAACAGCGCAGTCGACGAGGTACTTGCCGCCCTTGTGCTTCCATGTTTCGCCGATCGCTGCCCATACCGAGGTTGCAGCACCCTGTTCGACGCTCTTCATGGTGGGATACAAATGTTCCATCCCTTTGAACGCGTCCGGGGGCATATGCTGCGTCAGCCCCGTCTGAACGAGACCGGGATGGACGCTAGTGGCGTGTAGATGGCGCGAGCCATAGCGGCGCTCAATCTCGTTGGCCATGTATATGTTTGCCGTTTTTGACTGGGCGTACGCTACGCTGGGGTCGTAATCGCCTTTCTCGAAGTTGTAGTTGTTGGAGTCGTTGATCCCGCAGACGTTGTGCGCTGAGGAAGCGAGACTGACGACACGAGATGGGCGGCTGGAGCAGGCGGCTGCGAGAAGAGCGGGCTCTAGAAGCTTGTAGAAAAGAAAATGCGACAGGTGGTTTGTGCCGAATTGAAGTTCGTGGCCATCTGCCGTAAGGCGAAAGTCGGGAATTGCCATAATGCCGGCATTGTTCACGAGTACATGGACTCTAGGAGTCCTGCTAAGAATGGCGGCGGCGGCGGCACGTACGGAAGAGAGGTTTGCCTTGTCCATCTCGATGATGTACATACGCGAAGGTTCGAAGATATCAGCAAGGACGGATTGGGCTTTGCTCGTGTCTCGGGCCGTGAGAAAGAGAATGGCGCCAGTGGTGGCTAGGGCACGAGCGGTTTCAATGCCGATGCCAGAGGAGGTACCAGTGATGACAATGACTTCACCTTTGAGTTTGTTCTCAAGGTTCTCGTCTTTGATGATCTGCAAGGCTGTTGGTCGCGCATCGCCAGGGCCATTCGGCTTAGCATGAGCTTCATCGTAATGAGGCATTCTTGTGTTGGCGGGACGCTGGGAGGGATAAAGGTAGAGGATATGACTTGCGTAGATGCCGCAAGCTGGATTGTTAAAATCTTGAGTGACTGGATTCTGAGTTTGGACAGAAGGAGAGGTAAATGAATCATTTATGTACTCAACTCATCCAAGCTCTGTCGCGACATCTTGGTCTCATCCGTAGCCAGCGTTACTCAAGAAAGACACGACTTAGAAATCACCGTACGCTTTAGCATGCTTTCTCGGCGATAAGCTTGAGTGAAGGCTCACACCGCCGCTTCGTATCGGCATTTGGGCTCAGTCTACGGGTGCGGCACATTCGAAATGTTCGTTGAAAGGAGACGTACCATTTGGGCTGCGTGGATGCTCAAGCTGCGAGCTAGGCTGAAGAGGGCGATAATGTCATCGGGTGGAGCTAGAGCTAGGCTGCAGATCCATGGATGGATACGGCCGGGGATGCTCCGTGGCTCAAACGCACTAGGCCGAAACGGGAGAAAATGTCATCGCACTCTGTTGTAGACCCTCAAAGGAGGTCTTGGAAGACAGTACTCGAGATCGTATGATTTATCCTTGTTAAATAAGCATCATCCAAAGGACGGCGTTAAGTCATGGACTTACGTGTACCGCCGCGAAGGACTGTTGGCGAATTCGAGGTAGACAGTCGCTGATGCTACCTAGGTAGGCGCGAAACATAAGTAGGCGTCAAGCGCAACCCAATGTACAGTCAATGCCTCCACTACCTTCTCCTATCTGATATACCACTGTCTGCACATCCATCTTCAATTCGCACGAAACTCTACCATAGTCCTCCAATATGGCCCCAACTCCTTCCACAACGAAACTCAGAGAACAAATTGAGGCAACAGCTCGGGCCTTCTTATCAGCATTCGAAGAAGGCGCAGCTCAGAGCAACCCTTCTATTATCAATCGCGACGTTACAGCCGACTGCACACGTCACCTACTTCCCGCATCCGTCCCTAAAGCTTTCGGTCTTGCAACAGACACGTTCTTCGACACGACCAGTTTCCAGGACCTCTTCGGGAATGACATCAAAGTATTGCTGTTCAAGGATAACATCATGTCGAACCTAATCATCGACACGGAGGCGCGGCGCGCCGCTTTTACAGCTAAAGCCGACGTGTATGTTAGGAGCAGTGGAGAGACATACTCTTCTGAGGGTGCTTGGTTCTTGTACTTTAATGAGGATGGATCTAAGGTCAAAAAGGTGGTTGAGTTCTGCGAAAAGGACGCCATCTTGAAGATGGCAAGCGATGTGGCTGCTGCCTAATGAGTCTAGAGTAGATATAGGCTGGAAGCTGAACAGTAGGTAGAGACCAAGATATGGCCAGACAGCGAACACACTCTTAAACAATACTATCTCTTGCAGCTCCTCTGCTGGTGTCAGACCATTGCGCCCTTAACGCAACCTGGTTTGTCTCTAGGCACAAATCCACCTGAGCAAGTTCACCTCTTCTAAACCCGAAACCATTGAAGAGATAGCCGCGGTCTAGGTTCATGCTGTCCATCAAGTCGGCTATGACATGAGCGGTGGCGATCTGCCAAGGTGGTTCGTAATCATCATGCCGTTATGTGTGTTGACCCGATCCATGAGAAGCTCCGGAGTGAGTCATTAGACCGAAGTGATCCTTCTGCCCCGCTTGATCGTTTCCGTCAGGACTGGTGTATCTGAAGTTGATATGGATTTCATGCTTCCCATGTCGCCGACCGTGGGTTTAGTCCGCTCTAGATCAGTAATCGGGCCAATATTACTAGCATACCTCCGCACAATAATTCAATAGCCGCTTATGCAACGCCCAGGGCTGTGCGCAAGAAGCCAAGCCAATGAAGTTCACGTACAGTATAAGACGGGACAGCACTACGCGACTTTTTATGAGGATAAAGAGAAATCAAACCCTCTTCTTACCACGAGAACATCCTCCAACCATGGCCTCTTTCGATGAAACCTTCAATTCTCTTCGTCATCGATTTGAGGAAATCAAGCAGCCTATTCCTCCAGTTACACTTGGCGCCATCAGCAAAAATGGTATGATACCTAGGAGTCCACCTTTCCCTGTCTCTTGTTTTGTTTCTGTTTTGTTGACCAGACGTGATTAAAAGGTTCCTTTCGCTACATGAAGGGGTTTGAAAAGGAATCCGACGACACCGAGTCCAATGGTGTACATTGGCTCGCCTCTTCCACCAAGCTGGTGACTACAATTGCTGTAATGCAATGCGTCGAGAGAGGATTGCTAAATCTGAATGACGATATCGCCAAAGTGCTGCCCGAGTGGAAAGATCCGAAGATTCTGACCGGTTTCAATGAAGAGAATGAAGCCCTCTTCAGGCCCGCAACGAAGGCTATCACCCTCCGGTAAGTCTTGATATGTCCAAGGGCTTACCACGTTTTGCTAATATATTATGTTGGTGACCAGGCAACTGTTGACGCACTCCAGCGGCATGGCTTATACATTCATGGATCCGCTCCTGACCCGCTACGACGAGCTTCAGGGCAAGCCACTGCCTGGCCCTCCCACATCTGTCGTAAGCTGGCTCACCCCGCTCGCCAATACTATTAGCTTACCACCAAGCGCTATAGGCAGAAAAGTTCCCCCACCACTTTCTCGTGTTTGAACCCGGTGAACGATGGATGTATTCGCCTGGCATTGACTGGGCTGGAGTTTTGGTCGAACGAATCACCTCCATGAAGCTTGGCGAGTACATGCAACGCCATATTTTCGACGTCGTGTCTGCCAATGACGCTACTTTCCATCCCGACCAGCGAGAAGAGACGCGAGCTCGAAAGGCCAAAGTCTGGGAGCGAGTGGGTGAGAGGTTGCAGGAACAGAAGCAGCCTTACTGGCCGGACAGGGTTGAGGCAGATTTTGGAGGGGGAGGTCTGTTCGCAACTGTGGACGACTTGCTCAAAATATACCAAGGTGTCCTGACAGGGGAGCTGCTCCGGCCCGAGTCTGTCAAGGAGATGTTCCAGCCTCAGCTCGAGACACTCAAAGGCCTCGATGATCCAGCCGAGTACTCGTTGCCGTCCCGTAACGCTATCTGGAATACTGTCCCAGACGACGTCCCTGTCAGCTTTGGGATTGGAGGTTTGATCAACCTCACTGCAGTACCGAAACGACGCGGAGTGAACTCACTCACGTGGTCCGGCCACCCGAATTGCTACTGGGTAAGTCTTCAAATGTCAATGTGGACTCTGGCTCATCATCAAACTATAGTGGATCGACCTCAGCAACGGTATCGCCGGGGTGTATCTCTCTCAGCTTGTACCAACCGGAGATGAGAAGGCTATCGAGCTCTTGACCGAGTTTGAGAAATTTGTGTACTCGAGTTTGGATAAATCTTGAATGTTGATCCAAAATGGTATCAGCAAGGCAAGCTGGCTAAGAGAAGATCACACTCAACGAGTATCATGTTCAACGGATACTCGTACTTATCAGAAATTCCATTCCCATTTCTGCATGATAGTACGGTTGTCTCGATGGGGGGGATGAGTCGCTTCTCGTCGTCGGACAGTCTGTGTTGTGTGCCTGCAAATATAGATGTTAGTATATATCTTGCGTTGTCTAAGTTCCTATGCCCGCATTTCTACAACTCGCGCTCCGCTCTGGTCGCGTCAGATCAAACTACCATCTATCCTTATCTTCTTTCTCTACACCCTTCTCCGTCGCGAGACTAAGTTCACGTACCTTGTTGCTTAGCCACTAGTTCGAACGTGAGCTTCTTTACGCACGAGCTTCGCAACCCCTATATCAGCCTCTTCGCAAGCTAACGTATCATCAGCTGAGCATCTTTACACATCGGCTTTGCGACACCCATATTAGTCACCTCCCAAGCTTCCACGTAGCATCTTCGTCAGTCAGCAGATTCGCAGATTGGATTGAGGCACGGGAGCTCCGGAGTAAAGATGCGCATGTAATGTATCGATTGAACGCGACGGTAGCTGTCTGAACCAGACAGCTCCGATGCTCGCAGGCTGAATCTCGTGAATAGTAGAATGTATGCTCAACGCAGGTAACCTATTTTTTTCCACCGTTCTTTTTCCAGCCCGCACTTCTGCTCTTGCGTCCATTGGCACCCTTCTTTTGGCCGCCACTGCCCTTGAACTTGAGCCCACTCTTGCCCTGTCTCTCACTCGCCCTGTGGCCTTCAAACACGAAGCCCTCTTTTGTTTGTGCCTTGGCGACCTTGCCCAGCATCGATCTAGCACGTCCTTGCATCGACTTTTGCTCCTCAGTCAACTTCTGCTTGTAACCGGCACCAGGATTGCCGCCCGGCCTGGGTGCCTTGGATGGCGGTGGGCCTCTCGGCTTCTCCTTGGTCTTCTTCTCCGCTTTGCAACGTGTAATACGGAGTTTGCGAGGGAGCATAGGTGGGTACATCTTTTCGTTGAGTTGCAGCGCGGCTTCGACGCCGTTCTCATCTACGAACTGAACGTAGGCGAAACCCTTTCCGACTCTTGTCTTGGCATCGCGGACTACGCGCACGCTCTCGATTTTGCCGCATTTACCAAAGTGTACCCAGAGACCCTCTTCGATATCAGAGGCGGCCTTCTTCTTCTTGGGCTTCTCGCCTTCTGCCACGGGTGTTTGGGACTCTTCGTCTACGAAGGGAAGATTGCCGACGAAGACACAGCGGCGGTGATCAACCTTCATGGGATGGGCTAGTGAATCGACATGGAGATGGCGGTTGAGCAGCATAGAGCCGTTGAGTTTCTTGACAGCTTCTCTTGCGGCTACCTTGGTCGTGTAAACAGCATATGCGTTAGTGCTCTTGGTAGTCGCGTCTATGATGTCTTTGGTTGCAAAGGCAGCGCGTTTGGGAAGCGAGGGGTCGAGAGCCGTTGATCGGAAACGTATCGACTCGATCTTGTGCGGGGGCTTGTTATCGGCGAGGTCAGGTATGAAGGACTCCAGGTGCTTCTTGAGAGCCTTTTCTGCGGGCTTTGAGCTTATGCACTCGACCGAGACGTTGCTCAGGAAGACAGTGCGAGACGCCTTCTCCACCTCGGATGCGCTCTCGTCGGTCTTCTCCATGAGCGACTCATGCTTGGGAATTGCGATGTCTTCGGCCTTGTCCGCGTCCTTGGTCTCTTTGCCCTCATCTGCCTCATCCGAAGACTCATCCTCGTCGTCCTCGTCTGAAGAATCCTCGTCGTCCTCTTCCTCGGTCTTGCGCTTCTTCTGTCTTTGCTCCTCCTCCTTCTCCTCCTCGCGCGCTACTTTGCGCATATATGCATCCTCGATCTCCTCCTTCTCGCCGCGCTTGCGCTTCTTTGGCTTTTCCTTTGCGCCGTGCAGTACGGCTTCACCCAGTTTTGCTAGCGCGGCCTCGTCTTCAGATTCAGCGTCGTCGCTGGCATCCGACATGTCCTCATCTTCGTCTTCCTCTTCGTCCTCATCGTCGGAAGGCAAGCTTTCGGATGCCGAGCTCAGTTCCGCATCGTTCGCATCGCCTTCGTCTTCATCTTCGCTGGACTTTTTGGTCGCTTTCGCTTGTTCGCGCGCTTGGTACCGTGACTTTGAGGGCGCTTGCACAGGTCCGGCCTGAGAATTATTAGCAATCGCCCTGTAGCACAGACATGCGATCAACGTACACTGGCAGCAAACAGCGATGCTAGCGCCGGGTCAAACGCCTTTTTGTCGACTTTGATGAGGGACTTGTCTGGCTTGTCTGACTTGTGGCTCTTCTTGGGCGTGTCCGTCTTAGCCGAGCGTTTGTCCTTTGACTTGGCCATGGCGACAATGGAGATGTTGGTGTTGGCGACAGCAAGCTCGTCAAAAAGTTTTGGTGGAGACGCTTCACGGCGGATGCGCGCTAGGCCCAGCTGGGTCACGCAGGCGGCAGAACGACACCGCCCGGGGCAGGGCAGTGCGGTCATTTGCAAGCCTCAGGGCCTCTCCCGGCCGTCGACCCGCTTCAGAGCGCAGTTTACACCATCCCGACCGAGCTGCCCTCCGCATTCACCACGCACACAGGAATGCCCGCCGCTGTCCCGCGTTTGCACCCTCTCCCGTACAAACATCGCAGACCTGCCACCCGGTCGCTCCTGCCTGAGACATCCCCACACGCTCCCTCGACGCCCGCGTCCCTCACACCCGCAGCTCTGTTTTTGACCGCTCGCCGGGCCCTGCATCCTCCACCCCCAAGAGCGCCCATATCGCATCGCGAAGGCCCGCAACACCGTCCACGGCATATTTTTACGACATTGGTCACGCGGTGAGGCTGTCTTCGGCGTGGGCGCACTATGAGCGCGCCCGAACAGACCAGACGGAGCACCTCGAGAACAGCTGCCGGCCCCAGCGAGGACGTCGCGCACACTCAAAGTACGTTGTCACCTCTTCTATCCCGACCCCGATGCGCTTTTTCGGCTTCCTCAGGCGCAGCACTGCGCCTGGGGTCGCCGCTGGAGAGACTGTCGATCTTTGCGTCAACCGAGGCGACGACAGCGTCGCGAACCTGCCTCTCTCACCGCGTCTCTTACCCACGCCGTCCGAACCTGCACCAGATCTAACAGCCCCTCCCAGGTCCAACTTCGACCCTCACCACAGAACTACCTGACCCCACCTCCACCACCTCTCCCTCCAACCACTCTGCGCCAGCGCAGATACCCACACCAGCTGACCAAGACCCCACCGCGATCGCTGCTGCGATGCTGTCCACCATGGCAGCTCCGACGACAGTGCTCACCGAGTCCCTGCCCGCAGAACAAGCTCCTAATGGCTTCGATGATGTTGCCGACAACGGCTCCAGCAGCTTGAGCGAGCTCGGAGACGCATCGGACGATCAGTCAGAGTCAACACCACGGCCAGCCGCAGTAGCCGATATGGACGAGGATGATTCAGAGGCCGAGACCGAGCGACTGGACAACACGCCTCGAAAGTTCGCGCGCACAGCGACCGAGACGTCATTACTCTCTGAGCCCATCCACACAAGAACACCGAGCAAGCTCGCGCACTCCAAGACCATCGAGCACGACGAATCTGCCCCACCCACACCATCTGCGATTACAGACGATGTCGCCATGGGCGAAGCACCTACAACTGAAAACCCTCTGCATTCTCTTTCGCTGATCGCAGCATCAGAGGCGGCAAATCTCGAACACGTGGGCATAAAAAGAAAGCGTAGCAGTGCCGAGGGAAGCCCAGTGGACGAGCGCGAAGAGGAACCATTACGGAAACGAAGCGTAAACGCGAAGGGTTCGGCGCTCGATGGCCTGGCTGATGCCGCAGCAGACAGGCAGGGGCAGATGGACGCAGACGAAGAGCTCGAGAACGCCGAAGAGCACCTGTCGGCACTGGCTCGCGAGGAGCTAGAGCTCGAGGAGCGACAAGCCAACATCGCCGCGCAGACTGTCAGCGAAATGGCCACCGTCGCGAAGCACACAAAACCAAGAAAAGGTGGCAGAAGAGGGAAACGGAAGACGGAAGACGCTAGCTATGCCTACGCCGAGCCGTTTGCAGCTGCTGAAGCCCACGAGGCTGAAGCTGAGGGCGAGCACAACGATGAAGACAGCGCTGTACTCGATGAGGAGGTTACCAAGAAGAAGCAGGCGATCGATGAGCTTGCAAAGATTGAGAAGAAGTTCAAGCTTTTCCGAGAGAAGTAAGCAATTCACTCAGTGCATGATCAGAAGGATCGGCTACTAACCGTTACCAGGCTATGCGACGAGCAAATAGCGCAACTCGAACGAGAGCTCGACATGCTCAAGCAGCCAAATTGTGTCCACCCAGAGTACGTTGCTATGATCAAATGCGTGGACGATCGACGCGCCGACAAGATCGCATACGAGACGAGGCTTTTAGAATACAAACAGAAAAATCTCGAGATAATCACAGCAGCAGAGCGTCATCAGATGCACAGCCAGTACTTCCAGACTGTGCGCCACATCCGCGAGGACATTCTCGAAGAGTGCAACCAGCGGGTTTTCGAACTACAACGCGGACGACGTCAGCTTGGCTGCGATGACACTGAGTACATGGCACGATTACCTGAGAAGCGATCCGACCAGATCCGACACCAAACAGCATACAACCTCGAGGTCTCCATTCTCTCAGGTGTCGCCAAGTACGTTGGGTTCCCAGCCGCCCCAGATATCAGCGCTGCGCGACCAACCGAGATCGACGAGGATCTTCGAGCAATGAAGGTAAGTGGCTGAACGCATCTGCTAGAGAACTAGCAGCTGATTCGGCGCGTTAGATTGCAACGCGTGCTCCAGTGCCGCCCCCATCGTTCCGCACCTACAACAGAACGACAACAGCGGACGAGGCAGCTGCAGAAGAACAATTCTTAGAAAGCACGCCATGGGCCAACCCACGACATCCTTCACATCAAGAGAGTCGGTACCCTCCAGGGCCGTCACGAGTACCTAGCTACCAGACACCAGCTGGTCAGCGTCGAATGGTCGACCTCTCAGCTCCCAACGGATCTGCCTCCACCATCGAAGCGAACTCCAATCCTCCGTCGTCGAATGCTCACAACGCCAACGGTCTGCTAGGCGAAGCAGAATCACCGGTCCTACACATGAAACGCGCACCGGTCGACCACATCACATACGCCGAGACACCTGGCTCAGATCCTCGCAACAACATGGGTGTTCTCAGTAGGGAAACGTACGGGATGATGTCGAGTCCCGCGGCACAGCACATGGAGATACCCCACGAGCAGGTCGGGCCACGCTGGGTTGGCAGCATGCGACCCATGAACGCAGAGCCAAACACCGCGCCAGGACCACCAGGTGCAGCCCGACCAGATGCGGCGCGAGCACCTCTCCCACAACGCAGTGGTCTCGGCACGATCAGCGTTGGCAGCGGGTTATTCGGACGGTGACTCGAATAACCCACACTGAACTGTTGTTCTCATATCTGTTTTACTATCTGTTGCGTCATACCAGCAAAGTTTCATTGGGCGGCGTTTTCCTTGCGTTAGACTTGGGGGTTTTGCATCCATAGCGGGCTGGCCAGGTAACATGAGCATGACATGATGGGAGGTATAATCCCTTTGGCGTTACCTCGCAGGCAGGCAGGCAGGCAGGCAGTCCTTCTCTCCGCTTCCATGTTTTACCTCCCATGGAGGCTATGTCCATGTTCCCTTTTATTTCCGTTATGTTCGAGTTCATACTTAGACTCTTGGTGAGCAGGCTGTGCAATGAGTGGGTATGGTTTTAGGGAATGACGGAGATGATACCTTTTGAGAGTCGCCTTGAGCGTAATCAATGATATTCTATGCATCAAAGCCGGACATCTTACGTGTATGTGATGTCTTTGTGTTTGATCATCGATGTGTCGGTTCGTGTCCGTCGCCGTCGGTGTTGAAGAGCGGACTTGGGAAAGCTTCAAATGACTTTGATAGGGTCACTTTTCCAGACAGAAACAACATTGTTCGTCTCTATCTCTTTTCGTGTATAGCTTGAGACACAGGCTGACATATTGACCCACCCCATAGACGATGTATTTTGATCACTCATTTTAGATAACAGCCATCGTATGTGTTCAAAATTTCTTCGTTAATGATGCATGGTCCACCAACACACTTGTGCTCTTTACTACACACACCTCATGTTTATTTACCTCACCCTAGAGACATACATCAGACAGCCCTGTACGTCTTTTGACAACTCTCGATCACATCCAACGTATGCCTAGACAGTGAGCATTCCTCATCGCACGGTAGAGCATGTCTTTTGGTCGACGTTCTGGTGTTCCAAAGTTGTAAAAGGATGCAGACATCAGATCGATGAGTTTATTTGATGTGAGAAAGTGCGAAGGAGCAGGAGACCCCATGCAAGCGGTCTTCTGATCTTTTGGAGGCCGAGAGACGAAGGTCATTCATCGTTCGCGATCCCGTTTTGGTAAAATCAGAACTCAGGAGTGTGTGAGGGGAGAAGAGTTCGGTTGTAGAAAACGAAAACGACAGCTTTATATATTTCCAAACACGCGGAGTCTTACTCATCGAAGATGGCAATCTTCTTTTGAGACGCCAGGCATACACATACTCTGATGTCGCGATATTCATTGACCCGGCGGTGCGTCTTGCACACGTCCATGGGAACAGTCACTTTTGACTTTTGAGAAAGAGGAAGCAAGCCATGACAGACTTCGGCACGCGTTTTGCTCGTACAGAACATGACTCTAGTGATAAGAATATCGTAAAGCCAGGCGCGGGCTTGTACATTTGACATCCTTCTTAGCCCCATCATCATTGCGGTAAATGGTTTTGGAAAATCGTCGCCCATGTAAACGAAACTTCGCATTTTGGTAATGAGAAACGGATGTTGGTTTTGCACGGAAAGATCGAGCGACATGATGTCTTATATACGATTTTGGGAAGCGTTGACCGAGACATAATTGGTTATCAGACTGTGGTAAAGCATACCGGCCGGCCTAGTCGTCAGGGTTTGACTGATCGATATGCGTATTTTGAATTGACAAAGACCAAACGTCATGTTGCGACAACGGGTCCACCGTGCTCTGGAATGCGGTGCAGTAGCGGATCAAACTCGTATTGAAAACTCTACCACGACGCGAAGAGGTAACTAAAGTGAGTCAAGGCGCTTGATCGTCGTGATCACGTTGCGATATGGCCACGAGGCACATGCGTCAAAGTGGAGATCCCATGTGACAGCCTGGAGAGCTCCAGCGGCAACCTGCATGTGTCGGTTCGTAGCAGTTTTGTCAAATTAGCTTTTCGGATATGCAGTGATAGATGCGTGACCGGAGATGCGGCTCGTAGTGAAGTGTCGTGAAGCTCACGTGTCATTGATTACTTAGATTCCCTTCTGAGATATGCCATCTTCATGGAAGGGAGACAATGCCCATTCATGACAGCATCGGTATTTTGATGCTTTCTTCTGATCCGAGAGAAATTTGGATGGGAGGAAAAGAGGAAAGTAGGAGGCCGGTTTCTATGTCATTGTAAAATGCATCAGCCACATGAGAGTATGGGCTTTCGGCACATGACTTCGGTATATGCTCGAAACTACCGGCGAAGCTCGAGCTTTGTCGATCGTGAAGAACGGCTGCTTGCGATTTTGCTCGCCAAACACGTGAAGATAGTCACCACTAGGACAAGTGGGAACCCAGAGTCGAGGCGAGACGGCCAGCGTTACTGAAGAGGTTGGCAGTCTTGGTATAATCTTTCACTCGCGTTGATAGGGAGTCTCTTTTGCCGGTGGTAGGAGTAAGTACACATGTGGTGTAGAGGCAGCTGAATGTTGAAGTTTTGATCCCTAATTGCGGTCACATATAGACATGGAGTCTCGAAAAAGGGTGGCCTATGAGAGCTGCAAGACCAAAGGGGTTGAAAAATCAATTGGATGACTCTCGATTAGGAAGTACCAATGGCAACTCCTTGCAGTGTGGTCGATAATGCCCTTGCATATAGAAACGGCTTTGGCTAGTCACCCGAGAGTAGTGGTCGTTTTCGTCAAGCCCACGTTGTGATCGTCGGCCCCTGGCAGATGCCGATGCGTGATGCCGGTGACTGACCGTTTGGTACAGGCAACCGAGAGATCGACCCGCGTAGATCCGAGGGTGGTAAACGAAGACCACGCGAGTGAATTACCTACGTTTGCGTAAAGGCAATTGCCGATGCCTGCGTTGGCCGCATGTCGTCACGCGTGGCTATGGAGATACAAAGTTTGGTTACCGAAACGTTGGCTCGTTGCAGAGGGCGCGGCCCGAAAGTGACAGCTGGAGCTGACTTGCGGCTGAGCAGAGTGGGGACTCAGCTTGTATGACCTTCTCGATAGTAGGTTGCCTGAGTGTCATAGGTTGTGGGAGCTGTAAGGATTGTTCTCCTGAATTTGCAGCACTCGATGGTTTCGCTGGTCTTTGCTACGTGGAGATCGTCGACCTCGCGTAACTGGACGACGACACGTGCACGGAAGATGCCATCTGCTAACGCGTTAGTCAATCGTAAGGGTGCCACTGCGCTGGATCGTGAAGAAACCTTTGGATGTGCAGTCGGGATGCGCCTAGTATACGCAATCCCAAAGATTTGCGCCATCATGGCTGGAACAGAAAAGCAAAATCGCAGGGTCCCGCGCTCGTGATCTGGGGATTACGACGTCGGACCGACAACGAGCCAGCGAAACCTGATGCGCGCCACACATCATTCGCAAAGTATCGTGATCCTGAGGGATGCGCACGCGTGTTTTGCTTGAATCGAGGAAGACGCTGCGAGTCAAATCTCATGCCATCACTAAATTGCCCCACTAATACCGACTCGGATAGTGACGATTCTCACGAAGAAAGGGGACATTGGACGCGATAGCGACGGAGTTTCACGCAATCGCATGGGTATGTTTCGAGCGTGCATCAGGTATACCTTGTAGGGCTGAGGTATCAGCCGGGATACGTTTTGCAGCCATGTCATGGAACGTCGACGAATTCGAGAACTTTTCCCGTGGCAATGCTGTTGAGTAACACTGGTGCACAAAATTTCTCACACCAATCAATGACCGCAAGAGACATGATGCTTCGGGCGCGGCTGAAAGATTTCGGGGGTATAGCTCCTAGATCATTTCGATTTTTCCGGATGCTCGACATGATTGAGGGCTTCGCTTCTTAGCTCAGAGACGGCGAGATTGGAACCGTACCAGGAAGTTGCTGATGCTCAACAAAACGGCTGGGTTCAAGGCTACCACAGACCTTGGGTATGCTAAAGAATACGTGCCACACCTTGCTGCGACACAGTGGTTTGGAACGTCAGCCGAAAAAATGGCCGTTTCCAGGCCGTCAAGTTCCTGCACTCCGCAGTCTCTCCCGTCAGTGACACTGAGACCAGCGTCCAAATGACATGTGAATAAAAGCGGCACGTTCGTATGCAGCTCTGATGATGAGTAGTAAGACGAATGTCGTGAAACACATGGAAAGGCTGTATTCCTGCCTCGCGTATCGCGAATACCGCATCGGTCTCCACAAGTCGATCGTCGACGTTGTGAGAGTCAGTGAACATGATCTTCGAAAAGCAAATGGGCCCCCATGTGATTTTTCTGAGCCGCGAAGAGTGCAGCGGTAGCGGTCGAAGCTCGGCGGCGGTTGAGCGGACGCGAGGTGGAGCAAACGGCATGCACGCGTGCTAGTGGCGTACGTACGCCAAGCTGTTTACCTGTGCGCAAAATCGCTCGTCTGTGGCGTTGCGGAACGAACCACCATCTTTGGTCAACCTTCCGGAGTCGCGAAGGCTTCAATACACACGGAAGCAAACACGCTATGGCAGGGTATGCAGTTGGATGGCAATGATCGGAGAATTCTCACATGAGTTTCGTATGTTCTGTGCTAACCAGGCAGACAGATAAGGTTGCTGGTAGCCAGGGTGCACACGAAGGACGTGTCTCCTTTCCTGGACCTCATGAGCGACCTGCATATTAGGCGAAGTCCACTTAGCGTCGACAGACCACTGTTCCTGAAAAGTATAGCCTCCGTCGTCGGTAGCGTCTGCCCTGCGAAGCGTCAGCAAGGGCCCACTTCGACTGGTCTGGGGCAACACCTCCATTCGCCCTGGGTTTCAGCCGACCCATTGGTTGTATTCAATAATCATGGAATCTAGTGCAAGTCCTTCCGTGCATATGCCAGGGATCATCTCTACGGCGAGACATACACCTCTGGTACGGAAGATGCATGACCCTCGAAGAGCGGCACTAGAGGCGGTCCAGCCCCACTGTATACCTCAATCTGCACTTGCCGTCCACCATGCCCAATGGTTAAATGTACCTGCAGTTATTCCCTTCCCTTATGGTCTCATATAGAGCAGGCCCCGGAAACTAAGCGACTGGGCCTGGCATTCTTGACAGCTCTTGATGTTCCCCGACCTCCCACGGAGTTTATAGTAAGGGTCTGAACCGGTCCATCGCAGTCTTTTCCATTCCGCCTCACACTTCCTGGCCGTTCGATCGTACACGAAGGTCGTGTGCGAGTACGAAGAAGGATGAGGCCCCTTCATTTGCTTTTCCCATTGCTGGCATGGGTACAGCTGGTAGTCGCTCAGGAATCGGCTCTACTGGCAGTGATTGAGCAACTTCCTCAATGCGCGGTATGTTCAAACGGAGCAATATCCCCAGCATTTACTGACTGTTTTCCAGCAAGTGTGTCTTGCCACTGCAGTTGCCCAATCGCCAGTACAGCATACAGACCAGGCCTCCGTATGTGCAGATGCCAAACTGCAAGGCGAGGTAGAGGCATGTGTAATGAAGTCCTGCACACTGAGACAGAGTTTGAGTGAGTGCTCCAGGCTATGTCAGCATGCTCACTGTTGCTGATTGCGATTCTTAGCAACCAAAAACGTTACCACAACAAGTTGTCACGCTCCAATCCGTTACTCCGGCGATTCAATTCGTGTATCCAACTTGATTCTTTCGATCGTCACCGCCGTTTGTGCGCTCTCCAGGATCATATACAAAGCCGTTTTCTCCGTCGGTGAACTTGGCTACGACGACTACAGTGTCTTAGCCGCACTAATAGCTGGTGTTCCGTCTGTGGTCATCATCGATAGGGCTATTGTTCCAAACGGTCTAGGACGAGATGTATGGACCGTCAGCTTCCAACAAATCACCGACTTCGTCAGATATCTTTACGCTCTGGAAGTCCTCTATTTCATTCAGGTCGCGCTTCTGAAGCTTACGCTCTTATTCTTCTTCCTGCGAATATTTCCGAAACCCAGCATCAGGCGACTACTATGGGCAACCATTGCCTTCAACTGCCTCAACGGTCTTGCCTTCACGTTGGTGGCTATCTTCCAATGCCGACCGATCTCTTTTTACTGGACCAAATGGGATGGAGAAGGATCCGGCCAATGTATCGACATCAATGGGTTAGCGTGGACAAATGCCATCATCAGCATAGTCTTGGACATCTGGATGCTCGCTTTACCCTTGTATGAGGTGTTCCACCTGCAGCTCTCCTGGCGCAAGAAGCTTAGCGTCGCTGTTATGTTCTGCGTCGGTACATTGTAAGTTTTGCTTCCAACGGTCTACCGACGATAATTACTGACTCAAACCTCAGTGTGACCATCATTTCAATCCTTCGTCTATCCTCTCTCGTCAACTTCGCGGCCTCATCCAATCCAACATGGGACCAAGCGGATGTTATCAATTGGTCTAACATCGAGATCAATGTCGGCATTATCTGCGCCTGCCTGCCTGCGCTACGCGTCATACTCGTACACTTGTTCCCCAAGATCCTCGGCACAACCAAAGCCACCGAACGACCTTACTACGCATACGGTAGCCAAAGTCATGGCATGAAGAAGGGCGGCAGTGCGCTGGCCAGTGGTCCAGGACGATCGGCCGTCTCGAACGGCGCGCGAGACCCAAACGCTATCACATACACCAAGACCTTCGAAATACGGCATGCAGATCATGATGAGCAATCACTTGTGCAAATGGAGATGGACCAGTTTGGACCACATAAGCCGAAAAATACGAGTAGCAGCACTAGCATTTCGAGTTTCTAGATACCACTTATTAAAGATACCCTAATTTTCATCTCAACGCCCAGCAGTGCGGCTTTCCCTACACACTCGGAATGTGATGCGTAGAGCGGCACCTGTTGACTTCGGTATTTTATTACCATTTAAGCAGATGCGGTCTCCTCCGTGTTGTAACGGCCGCTATATGTTTCAGATACCGTACTTCTTCAGATCCTCTGCAGAGTCGGAGTAATGGACCGTGAACTCCTTGCCCTCCTTGACATCTCGAACGGTCTTGAACACCATCTGCTCCAGCTGCTGATCCCAATGCCTCCTGACGTTTGAGTTGCTTTCGTGATTGAACATGGATCCAGTCAAAAGAACCATTCCAATTGGACCAAATGAAGCCTCACCCTTGAATGAATTAGAGTTCACGCAACCCATGAGTGTATCTAGGAGCCGGTTGTGGGCGTTGTCTCCTCTTTCCTTCGTAAACCGCATTTCGTTAGGTCGCGCGTTATGCAAGAGCAAGATAGCTTCCAGGGCCTCCTTGGGTAAGAGGAGGAAGATCAGCGGCACAAAATCGGGGTGTGGCATAATCAGGACGGGTGACTCCTGCAGAACGATCTCGCCAGCTTTGATGTCGCGGGTTGCAACGACACCGCGGCCTTTGCCTTCGATGGAGACTATCTTGTAAGGCGCTCCAGTCGGTGATCGCATGAAAGCGCTAGGGTTCTCGCCGCCGGCTGCGTACTCCTCCCACGCGCGACTAATGCTCCGGTATGTGGCTTTTTTCATTTCTTCTGATGGAATTAACATCTCATCAAGTTTGCCACGCAGCTTGGACGGCATGGGTCGTTTTTGATGTGTCTGTAACGCCTCATGTGGTGCAGGGGCGTCGGTGAAGCATTGGTCCAGTATGTCCCTCTTGGGACCCGTGAGGCGATATGGTTCGAGAACTTCTGAGTCGCTCATCTCGATCGTAGAGAATTTGAATTGATAAGAAGAAGAATCACACAGAGGCGTTGGCCCACGATTATGTACCGGGTACGCAGTGTTTATTAGAAAAGACGGCATCCATGGATCGCTGCGCGTCCATCCCTGTGGCTCGGCCCAAGTGGGGTTAGTTCCTTGGCGCAGGGTCTATCACAAAGGAGTCGCATCCATGGATCCTTTTGTTCATCAAAGTGGTTGCAATACTCCCTAACGACGCTTCCGTTAGCAGTAGACAGTGAATCTTTGTTTCCCTAACTGTGGTTACAAGTTTGCAACCCGCAACCACAATCGTCAAAGACACGTCCCTCGCGGCGATCGAGACTCATTGTATCGCCCCGAGGTCCTCTTCGCCATGCTTCCGCCACCGGGTCTGCCATCGCCCTTTGGGTGTATTCGGCAAAGTTGAATCCCAAGGTTGTCAGAGTCGTCTTACAGTGTATGGTACCGGGAAGGCTGGCATTGCGGGCAGAATATAAGGGCAGTTGCAGTGGGCGGGGGGTTGAGCCGATGCACACAGCCACTGTCATCTGCACCTCGGGCGGTTAACGCAGCTGTACCATTTCTGCCTTGCCCCTACTCATGTCGAAGGAGATAACGAGCGGATACAGCTACTTCCCTTGGAACGAACTGAAAACTTCCTGCCCACAGTGATACCTGCGGCATCCGTCAACAGCCTGCTGCTGCATTACAATACGCAGCAGCTTGCGCGATCCAATCTGTGGCCCCGCACAGGTCCCCCACACGTCCGACAGCTCTCAGCAACCGCAACCTACGAGGTGTTGGTGGACAGAAGCCGACGTTCCTCTCTTCCAAGGCATGATTGGTCTTTGAGTTGAAGGGATCATGCGCCTCCTACACGCTAGGACTCTTGAGTTCGAAGTCTTCCACGATGATCAAATCCCGCAATACGTAATACTTTCCCACACTTGGGGAGACGAAGAGGTCAGCTACCAGGAAATGCGCTTCCTGCAACAATACAACGCTTTGCCAGCCGAACTAGAGGAAGACATAATCTTCGTAGCCGCGATGAAGATGTCGGTTGGATTGGACATTCTATTGGACAGTAGGGCGATCGAGAGTCGTACTGGTTACAGCAAAATTCAGGAAACGGCTAACATCGCAAGGGAGAAGGGAATGGACTATTTCTGGATAGACACTTGTTGTATTGATAAGAGCAGCAGCGCGGAGCTGCAGGAGGCAATCAATTCCATGTACCGATGGTACCAGCATTCAAGCTTTTGTGCTGTACACCTGGAGGGTGTTGACATCACGCATTATAAAAGTTGGGGGGAGATGATTGACCTTGCCACGATATTGCAACCCTGCAAATGGATCACTAGAGGTTGGACCTTACAGGAGCTTATCGCACCAAGAAACCTCGCATTCTACGATGGAAATTTCACTTGCATCGAAGCCTGGAGAATGTATAATGGGTTAGAAAGAGCTACCGGGGTCTCAGAATACGTATTGAGGACCGGGGATTTGAGCCGGTCGTCTGTCGCTCAAAAGATGTCATGGGCGGCTACTCGCAAGACGACTCGAATCGAAGACCGCGCGTATAGTTTGATGGGCTTATTCGGAGTTCAAATTCCGATGTTGTATGGCGAGGGTGAAAATGCGTTCAGTCGATTGCAAGAAGAAATCATCAGAACTACTCCTGACGACTCGATCTTTGCCTGGAGAGCGACCTGGGGGTTGACTTCTAGCTATTGCGGATTACTAGCAAAGTCGCCAGATGTGTTCGAACAATCGCAGAGCGTTGATCGAGGCCGCAGTACGTTTGCTATGTCGAATATGGGTCTTAAGATTGATGCGCCATTATCTCTGGAAATCGTCAGTCCGGAGCAACTTCGCAACTGGCGTGTGCCAGGACATAAGGGCAGCGACCCTATTCGCTTGCTTCTACTAGATGCAGAATAATATGGGAGATCGATCGGTTTGTTTGTCCGAAGACTCGAAGCCAATTTCTACGCTAGAGTTGCACCAAACATATTCGAACATTCAAAGATGTCAAAGCTGAAGCTCGAGACACTCTATTTCGAAGATCCGCCGCGAATCCCAAGGAATCTCATGAGCTGTGCAATGTACTGCTTCCATTTTGAGTTCGATCAATCAGAATACTCGATTTCAAGCGCACGACCTCGGGGACTATGGGATCAAGACCGCCAAGAACTCTCCATCGAGATTGCGCCTGGTGGAAACGATTTTTCCACCTACAACACCTTTTATGGTATGGTCTGGATGACTTGCCACAAACCCGGCTTCACACTTCCATTCTCGATATTTATCGCATACCATGTTGTAACCGGACGATTGTGGACTAAGCTGTTGAGCTCCGATTATACCCCGCGCGAGATTGAATGGCACACTGCAATCTCAGATATGGAGATTTCTAGACGGTATGAAGAGTCCAATTCCCCAGATACATCGCAAGAGCTGCAACTTCCTTGTGGAGTTCTTGTCGAGATCAACATTCGTGCGGGCTTGCGTCGAGGCTTGATTTCATACATTGTCCGTATATCCTGAAATAGGGACTCTTTCCACAGCTGGTTGGCTCGCTGCGAATCTCCTCACCTTATGGTTCTCATATGCCCGGTTATTTGGCGATCCTGGTCAGCAATATGGATGTCCAATTCAGCCAGCGTATCTGCCGTAACCGACTGCCATTGGACCGAACGCAGTACCTCAAACCTCTGGATAGCACACGTCGCGAAGACTGCTTTATATGCAATCTGGCATGTTATTTGGAGATCGTGGCCGGAGACGCGGATGATGCCACCACCCGCTGTCAGGTACAACACGTGCCCGGGCTAATGCGGTCATGACGCAACGCAGCCTGGCTTCTAGAAGACCGTCTCAATTCCGGAAGGCCTTGCAATTTCAGTTTTCTGATCCCCCATTGCCGTCGCTCAAGATACCGCTTCGATATGTCCATACTTCTGCCGCTTTACGTGTACCCAAGCGCGGGCGCCTGGGAACCGCTGTACACAGCGTAGGCACATCCATCTCGAGCGTCGTTACATACTAACAAAACCCTAGAGCAAAAGCGCACAAGAATGTGGACTTTAACGTCATCATCAACCCCTGCTCCGGCCCTTGCATGGGATCACTCCCCGATCAAGTGTACCTAGACGAAGTCCCAAAACTCCGAGCCTACCCAAACATTCGCACATTGGGATATGTTGCAACAGACTACGCAGACAAGCCTATCGAAAGCTTATTGGCAGAAATCAACACCTACGCACGTTGGCCCAAAGTGACAAATATTACCAAGATGCGCGTTGATGGAATCTTCTTGGACGAGACACCAAGTACTTTCGATGAAGACGATTACGAATACTTAAAGACAGCAAATCAAGCGATCAAGAACAACACAGCATTCAGCGATCGCTTCATAGCTCACAACCCCGGTCTGATACCCACGTCCATCCTCACCTCGCCCACAGTGCTCCAAGAATCCTACCTCAATCTCACGGATCTTACCGTCGTATTCGAAGAGACTTTCGATAAGTGGCTGGATAGAGACGTCATGGTGCCATTGCAAGGACACAAGATTCGGCGTTCGAAACTGGCTGTCATACTGCATTCTTTGCCGAATCTGACTGGAGAAGTGCTGGAGTTCATGGTGCAGCAGGTAGAGAACACGGCGGATTGGGTCTTCTTGACGGATAGTGCGGACGACTATTATCACACCTTTAGTGCGATGTTTGGAGATCTGGTGAAGGCGGTTGATGGAAGTAGTTGAGTGGGGTAGAGTGACTCAAATTCACGACGCCAGGGATGGCGGGAATTCGTGTCACCTTTCACTTTGCTGTATACACGCATCCAAAATGTAAAGAAAGAAGCAGCTTCTAAGACTACGTATACTTCTGCATTAACGTCTCTTAAAACGTTTTGCTAAAGCCTAGTTCTATTCTTTTATAGTACTTAGAACTCTTTTTTATTAGCTCTATTACTTAACTAAACTACTACTTAGTAGCTTAGAATTATATAATAGTAAAATCTCTACTTATTATTTATTATTAATTTTATATAATATTAGAGCTAAGCTATAAAGTAAAAAATATATATTTTTATAAATTTAATAAAGCTAACTATAAATAAAAAGAAACTTATATCTACTATAATACTACTATATTTAATATATTATTAATAGTGCCTTATATCTAATTTTATAGACTTTATTTAGTAAAAAGATATTAAAAAACGCCTAGCTTTAAAGTTATTCTAGAACTACTAGAAAATTTTAAGATTTTAATATATTTAGTATATATTACTATTAGTACTAAAGCTTTTAACTAATAATATATTACTTTTAAAGTCTTACTAAGAAGAGAAACTTTATATTAAGTAACGCCTATATTAGTATATTAACGCCTTACTATATTTAATCTTTAGCTATTAATATAATATAACTTAAGCTAAGAAAGATAACTACTTTCTTAGTTCTTAAGAGTAACTATAATAGTAAAATACTAATATAGCTACTATTTATTTAATAGTATTATTATACTAGAAGTAAGCTTTAAATACTTTATATTGCAGAATGTACCTCTAGATACTTCTTAAGAGCATAGCACGTAATTATACTAGCATAGATTAAGATAAGCTCTTAGAAGCTTTGCTACTTAAGAGAGCTTTCTAAGTAAGCTTATAATATAATAATTTATCTTCTATTTATTTCTATGCTTCTAGACGTAATAGTTATAAGCCTAGCGCTTTAAGAAGATAATATAGTTCTATATTTATATACTTAAGACGCAAGGCGTTTAATAGAGTATAGTAATACTAATTCTATTACTAATTTTTACGCTTCTATAAAAGCACTACTCTATTACTTATAATAAGTAACTCTATAATAATTTCTATAAAAGCTTTTACGCTTACTAACTTAGCGTATTAGCCTAAGTAGTTTACCTAGTTTAAATTCTATACTCTAAGTAGAGAAATTTAGGCTAATATTAACTTTAATACTAAAATAGCTACTTCTATCTAGATAAGCGTTCTAACTGCTTTAGAGCTAGTAGTAATTATATAGAACGCTTTAGTTAATAAGCTTTACGCTAATAAGTATAACTTATCTATTATAAAGTATAAGGTATAAGCAATAGAATAGTAGTTAAAGAGTACTTGTATTAGGTATCTTTAGAACTAAGTTAATTAGACTATTAGCCTAAAGCTTCTAGCTTCTACTATACTCTCTATCTCTATAAAGAAAAAGGCTATATTATAAGTACTTATTAAATATCTTAAGTCTACGCTTTCTCTAGAAGAGAACTATACTAAGAATCTTATACACTTATAGTATAGAGTATACCTCTAGAAAGCGTAATAAGAACATGTTAACGCTAAGCGCTAGCAATAGAAATACCTTTATGTTCTAGCCTAAGCTAAAGTATATAAACTTACTAAAGTTAATAATATGCTTACTATCTAGAACTATTTAGAAGTAATTAGCGTTAGGCTTACTCTAGAATAGAGGCGCTCTATATAGCAGAACCTTATTAAAGCTCTTACTATTAGTAGAACTTAGGTTACTCTTAAATAAGTATTAAAGATTTTTACTACGCTAATCTAAGAGCATACTGCTTGCTCTAATAGTAGAGGTAGTGTATTTACTATTATAGAAGCACTATAACAAGCTTCTAATAATAATAACTTATTCTAAAAGCCTAAGAAGAATTACCTATATAGATAGTACTATAAGTAGTCTACTACTATATATAAGCGTTTAGAAACAGCGCTTATAAGTAAACCTCTAAAGCTTTCTAATAAAGCTAAAGCTAAAATTACTACTAAGCTTAGAGACTTAAAGTATAATAGCCTGTAGAGAGCTCTTAACAAGAAGAGATAGACTACTCTATAGTAAGTATAGATTAAGAGCCTAAACTCTATTTACCTAGAGTTAATTTAGGCAATGCTTATTAACTCTACTCTTATTATAAGTTAGCTAAGTATTAGTAGTATATACTTTACTATAGATTTTAACGTCTACCTACTCTCTATAAGCACTATCTTAGATAATAAAGTAGTAGTATATCTTATTAATAATATATCTCTACTTAAGCTAAAGACCTTTGTAAGAGTATATAAATTCTATACTATAGAAGTAGAAAGCTTTTTCTTCTAGGTACTTAGATATAGTATATAAAGAATTAGAAACGCTTTAACTAGAAAAAGAGAACTATATATAAAGAACTTTATTCTAATAAGCGTAGCGCTTATAGAGAGTTTCTATATTAATATTATCTTAGAAGCAGCTTTTAATAAAGCTAGACTATAGTACCTAGAGTTAGACTTAACGCTTTGTATAGAAATGCTTACTAACAACTTTATACTAGTAAAGCTTAAGAGAAAGTATAAGCTTACGTTTATTAAATATAATTTTTTAAAGTTTTACCTAACTATAATAAGTATAACTAATAACTAGCGCTTATAATAATTCTAGAGAAGCCTTTCTTAGTCTAATATAGAGAAGCTTTAGTATGTAAAAGTAGGCTACCTAGGTCTAGAAGTACTCTAAGCTCTTGTTAAGAATACGCGCAATATACGTATTAAGAGAATAAGCTAAAGTAAGTATAAGCATTGCGCTGTTACTTATGTAAGGCAGCGCATCTCTAGGTAACTACGTAAGAAAGCTCTAAGACCTTATTAGAGAATCTTATAGAATCTTTTTAACTTTTCTACTAGTTGTAATAGAGAGCTCTAGATTATAGTACTTAAAGATAATTATAGTAGTAAGATCTATTAATATACTCTCTAAGCTAAAACGCTTATAGAGATTATAAGAGTCTTTTATAACTTTATAAGCTTTCTTATAGCTTAGTATAAGCTTAATATCTATATTATTATCTAAGATAATAATATTATAACGCTGTCTTAGAGAGGTAAGTTACGCTTTAAGATATAGGCTAAAGAGTAGAGTATTATTATAGAGCGCACTTTTATCTACATCTATAAACTAAATAGAGAAGTAGAGAGAGTAGGTTAGAAGATAATTACTAAGTCTATTAAGATAAGAGTTAGTGCAAATCTCTCTAAAAAGCTCTAGCTAGATATTATAGAAGTAGCAACCTAGCTATATAATATAAGCCTATTACATGCTTATAATCTTTTAGTATCTAACACTATACTTAACGTATAGTGTATAGAGTATAGTAAGAAGGTCTATGCTATTATAGCTAATCTTTACCTAAATTAAAGTACTATCTACGCCTATAGCTATAGAGCTTACCTACTTAATAGAGAGTAAGTAGCTAGATAAGATAAGCATAACTTTAAAGTTATACTAAGAGGCTATATTAGATACCTAGTAGAATATAGAGCGTTTAATATTTATAGAATATAGGTTCTAAAGCTTAATTAAATAATTATAATAAGAAACGTAAGCTTTAATAAAAAGCTTTTCTATAAAAGCAGCGCTAAAGGTAGCTAGAAGTACTTAGTAGAAGAGCTTATATATATTATTAATCTTCTATATAAGAATAAGCTATATAACGTAGAAGAAGCGTATAAAGATATCTTTAACTAACTCTGCGCTATAGTAAGTAAAGCGCAAGACTAGTATACTTCTAAAGACTTTATCTAGAAGCTAGAGAGTAGTATATTATAGCTTACTATTAAATAGGCTAGCTAGCCTAATTAATAAGTAGTACATAATACATCTTCTATATAGGTAGAAAGCTTAGCTAGCTAACTACTAGAAATCTATGTAGACTTTTAAGAGTATATAGGCTTATTTACTCTAGAATAAATACTAGAGCCTAGAGTATACTAGACTATAAGGTCTAGTTAGAAGTATAATAGCAGCGCCTAAAAAGTGCACTAAACTAGAGAAGAGCGCCTACTAGTACTAAGTAATAAATAGCTTTCTAATATAGAGAGCTTTTATTAGAATAAAGTATATAGTGCTTATTAGAATAGAGTGCCTCTAAGTATACTATATTTCTACGTACGCTCTACGTTTAGAACTTCTCTAGAATAAGGTAAAATAGAACTACTATCTACTTCTAGACTAATACGCTAGAGGCGTAATTATAGAGAACTAATATAATTAAGCTCTAGAATTAGAGAGTAACGTAAAGGCCTAGAAGTAGAAGAACTAGAAGTTTATACGCTGTATAATCTATAGAATAGTATATAAGATAATAACCTTCTAAATAGTCTTCTCTAATACTTATATAGAGTAGAAGAAGACTAGAAAGAGCTTATAATAGTTTACTTAATTATAGTAGCTATAATCTTAAGTAATATACTTCTATAGAAGTATAAGCTATCTAAACGCGTATACTGTAATTAACTACTACAGCTTCTAAAGAAGTATAAGAATCTTAGTAATTATCTATATAGTAAGCTTTTCTATAAAGCCTATAAGAAAAAGATTAATACACTTTATAGAGTAGGTACCTAGAAGAAGATTAAGCGCTTCTTAGTATAAGAGCGCCTACTTCTACTAAAGTAAGTATTTGTATATAAGGTTAATTAGAATAGCTACTTTATTAAGTGCAAAGCTTACGTAGTAGTAAGAGAAGATCTATAAGTAATTAATTCTATATACTCTATGTATGCAGTAACACTTACCTTACGCTCTTTTAGAATAGTAATAGTAATAGTAGCTAAGTTTAATCTAGAAATTCTCTAGTTTAATGTTGTAGAAGTATTTCTTTATACGCACTAAGAGCACTAGCTAGTTATAGTATATAATATACTAGATAGCTTTAAGAAGCCTAGTAAGTGTGTAAAGCT